TCTCTAAATAACAGGTGCTGGTTTATGGTTTTTATCAGTCTTCTGCCACTCTTTGCTTCCATAGTTTACTGTTTTTTAAAAAAAAGGTTTGTTGTGATTTTGGTACGAGGGATTGTCGGAAAGAGTTGTATATCTATCTTCGTTTTTAATAATTAGTACGTATTAAAATAAATTATATCTTTATATTTATTTAAATAATTAAAATTGTTTTAAACTTTTCTAATTTTAAATATTAACTATTGGTTAGCTTTTTAATGTATTAATAAAGTATAAAGTTGTTTTATAATATATATACAGTAATATTCAATGAATTTCAATAAACATTCGAATATTCATTCAAAATTTTTCAATGAATATTCAAATATTAATAATATTGAACAAATGAATATTCGAATACAAATTTTTTGACTGGATAAAACCTCTATCTTAAACTATGTATTTAAAACTTTATTAATTAGGCTGTCCAGAATTATGCAATAGCAGAAATTTGCAATTGAAATGAATTTTATTATTTTTAATAAATTTTAATTTGTATATTAGGACTTTTTAAAGACCTAAGGACCCTAGGTCCTTAAATTTGAACTTGGTCTTTAAAGGTTTAAAGACCAGGTCCTAAAGTCCCGGACCTAAGGATTTTACCACCCCTATTCACGTTTAGGTTTTTTCGATAAAGGTGAATGAAAGGCCTCTTCCAATTCGCGTTTGAGTGAAGGGCGAGGTGTGAGATTTGAATCCTTGATATTATTGCTATTATCACTACTGTCTCGACGTGAAAATATGGAGCACGGAGAAATCACTGAAGATGAAGGTTTTGAAAATTGTGAAATATATTCAGTGTATCCTGGATCTGATATGACATAATCCGGTGGTATAATTCCGAAGTTACTGTACTTTAACCAATGAGTACTGTAATCTTTTTGATCCCAACATTGCCATATGGATTCATCGTATTCGGCCTCTTTCTTATCGGAATTATTGCCGCGGCTACAAAGTCCATGTCCCTTTGTTGCTTCAAACTTTGAATCATCGGAGTCAACGCTCTTGTCATGTGTTTGTGAAATTTGAGAATTATTTAATGATGGTGCAGTCAAGTCTATAACCGATATATCATTATCATAATCATCATACGGCCAATTAAAGAGGTCATCATCTTGCAGTTTTGGAATGGAACCGTCAATATCTATTACATCCTGTGATATTCCAGTACTATTGTCATACAGTTTTTGATTGATATCTTTTGATATCTCAATAGTATCATTTTGCAGTTTTGGAATTGATTTGTCAACATCTGTTACATTCTGTGATATCCTAGTATTATCATCAAGCGGAAAATTATTTGATTCGTCGGCTTGTTCAAACCAGGAAAGAATGTCGGGAGCTGCGGCACCAAAAGAAGTTCCCTCATCCATTGTGACTTTACCGAAATCATTGTCTAACATTTTACCAACGACTCGAAGTTTTGAACGCACTAATTGCCATTGAATGGTATCTGTATATGAGCAAAAATATATATTTATTTTAATATTCGATTAAGAGACTGATAGCTCGTGGAAAATCATAATTATTGTTTTAACCTGAGGTGTCCTTAACAAGCATATACTTGATATCAACGCTACCTCGACGTCCAATTCTCTATACGATTTATATGAACATTAATTTCTAACATATTTTCATACTTATTATAGTAGGTTAAAATGACTGAAAAGATCACCAACATGTGCGCGATCTTCGGCCTATGCGAAATAGTAATGTAGTGTAATGAATATGAGAATTATTATATATGAGAAATTAAAAGAATATTTGTAACTATATACTTACTTGCAATAAAGTGGACGGGTTCCAAAATAACTCTGCAAATATGACTAAAAAAAGGTAAGAGATAATTAAGGAAACGAATTGAGGAAATGAATTTTAAACGCATTAACGTATAATAGACATATACCCAAATCGGCTGCATGAAGTGTTAGACCAGTACTAGCTGCCGTAAGAGAAAGAACAGCTATCCGTGTTTTTTTGTCTTCTTGAAATTGATCACATAAAGCCTGACGATGCTGCTGATTAGTGTTGCCATCGATACGAATATATTTAGCCTGAAAAACAAACAGCTGCAATAAGTCGAGGCGTTGTGGTGCAATATTTGAAAATGAAAGAAAAAAAAAGACATACATTAAGTTTGGCCGAAAAATAATCAGTGATTGCGTCAAGAACTTCCAAATGATGTCCAAACACAATAAATTTTTTTTCCGAATTTTCATATATCTCAGATAAATACTCTTGAATTGCAGGAACTTTTGAACGACCAGTTTCGGCCCACTTAAAATATATATATACATATATGCAATTGTTATAACGCACCAAATTGTTCTTAGATTTACTCATAATTTTAAAATTTTTACCATTTGCACCAGTAATCCTTTTCCTTTCATTTCAGCATCCTTTTTCATTTGCCCGCTTGATCTTTTTGCAATCCCATAAAGTTCTTCAGACTCCTTTTTCATTTTTCGGATTTCTCTTTTAGCAGTAGCCGAAATATCTAATGTATATATTTATTTCTAAATTTAATATTTTTAAATTATAAATAACAAAAATAACAATTAATAGTCACGTTTGATATTCACCAATGTGAACAATTTGACGCGTCTTAGGAGGTAATTCTAACTCCACATCAGCCTTCAGGCGTCGGATCAAAATGGTACGTTCCAATAGCCAATGAAGTTCCTCCAAATTTGAGGAACCTATAATAAAAAGAAAAGATAATGTACAATGATATTTAAATCGACAACTAGAATTTTTTAAAAAATCTTGATATAAAAACTCACCAGAATAATCCCAACCGAATAGGTTTTTAGAAGCATTACAATACCTTATACCATATTGTGTGAATGTAGAAAAAGTTGTCTTGTCCAGGGCATTGGCTAGTGAAAAAAGTTCAATAGGTTTTGATAATGCCTGAAATTCAAAATTTTGTAAGTAAATAATTACATTAAATGTAGCGATAAACGAGTAGATCGAATAATCTTACCGGTGTTCCCTACGTTATGCAATCAATGTAATCACCACCAATTAATGATAATAGTAATAACAATAATAATAAATTTGCATAATTCGACTAACCGTGAGTAAAAGAGCTCGCGTAGCATTTTGAATTAGAGGACATATGCTTTTAGACCTCTTTGTCTAAAAATGGATATTGATAATCAATACAAAATGAAATTAGAAATGTTCACAAACATCGTGCGTTTGTAACATACATCTTTATTTTTCAAATAATGCGCCTCATCCGTTATAATAATGTTAAATTTATCAGCAAAGTTACCACCTATTTTTGCTGCACAATCGTAGCTGGTGATCAAGAATTTGGGGGTAGGACGATTAATTTTATCTTTAAGATGAAATATAACTTGAATGTGACTTTCCCTAACTCCGAGCCATTTTTGAATTTCAATGCTCCAAGTTAATCTTAAACTTGATGGACAAATAATCAGAACTGGCCATTCAGATTCGTAAAA